AGTTTATTGTCTTTGCAAGCAGCACTGTTTTGTGCTTGCTTAAAGACACCAGCAGAAAATAAATGTGTAAGCAGGGTGACGGATAGGCCAGGTCTATGACATTTCCTTTGAGTATAGATGCTTCCAAAGCTTTTTACAGCACTGAGAAAAATGTGGGGGTGGTGATAGATCACAGCAGTTTGAATATTGTCCATGATTGCATAAAATGTTCACACATTGCATTTGTCCAGATGAGTGCATGCCTGAGAGCTGTCAGGCCTCTTTATCATGTCACGACCAGGATGATTTAAACTGTAATACCAATGATTTAGGGAACTGTGTTTTTTAAAATGAAAAATCCCCTGTACTATCCCTTTAGGAATAATAGTATAAAGCCTGACTTCTATTATTTTTTCTCCTTAAGGCTTTGATGTGTGTTGGGAAGGAACCATTTCCTACAATCTACGTGGACTCACAAAAAGATGACCAGGTTGTGTAAAATTAATATTTCTGTCTTCTTCTCAATATAAGGATGTTGTTGTGTCTTTTTTGTTCTTCTTTCTCAGTTTACCTATGCAAGACCTGGTGGTTTCATTTCTCATTAACACATCATTAGTTTTGGTTAAAAAGATTGTTGAAACATGTTGAACTGCTTCTCTTTTGTGAGATGGGAACCTATCACTGGTCTTTTCATATATTTCTGCTTCTGATGCCAAAGTTTCTGTTAAAGAAGTGGTGCCCAGGAAGATGCTGGCTTTGCATACAAGTATTCCAAAAATGGCCTCTGAGGGCAGGTCTATACTTGCCAGAATCCTCTGACCTGCCCATGGAGCATTGTGACTCCAAATTCTCCACAAATTTGTCCCTTACCTGCTCTCTTCCTGCATTTAAATCTCACCTTTTGCTGTGGGCTTTGGATAATGGGCGTCTGAGATCAGAACAAGGTGCCCAGCAATGCTGTCAACATTGGGCACCTCATTTTGACCTCCAAGCAACTCATGTTCACAGCAATGGCTTTGGGTAGCTTGCTGCTATCGCTGCAAAGAGAGCTGAAAACCTGCAGCAAAAGGTGAATTATTTAAATGCGGGTTAGATGGAGGAAGCCACGAATAGGATGGGGGTAGTGTGAAAACAGTCCGGACTGAATTTTGGGGTTTTGGCCCTGCATTGTGTGAATAGGATGCAGCAAGCTCGGGTGGAATTTGGGTAAAACACCCACATAGACAAGGCGTGAGATATAATCGATTTCCTAGCATAATCTAAATATATTTTTCTTTCCTCCCTTGCAAGTGAGCAATCCTGAATCTTCAGTTTCCAAATTGTATAGCATCAAAGATCCTGTAACAAATCTTTCCAATATTTATGCTGGTGGTCTTAGGATAGCAGATATATTATTTACCAAAGCCACATGGCTGCTGTCAGAATGCGCCTCAGATTGAGGCTTTTCTGCCATATATTTGATTTGGGTTTGATAAGAGATTGATAGTATATAGTAGTATAGAACTGCATAAACCCTGAGCTTGTCTAGCAAGGATTAAAGTGGCTCTAAATGGGTTGAAAAGACTGTGGACTGTATTGTGATAAAGGAGTCTTACTGACACAGTTTGATTATGTCTGCATCCATAAGCTTCTTTAAGGAAAAATAGTGAAGGGTTAATTGTTAAGTAATTGCTGGGGGGTGGGGGTTAAATGATATTTTAAGTTTCCTTCATGCTTTATGTTTTCCATGCTTTAAGTTTCTCCTATATTGGTTACATACACTGATAAGTTGATGATTTTGTTAAATAGATTATATGTTATGTTCAGATGGTATGAAAAGTATTCTATATCATTATTTCAAGGATGTTATGCTTGAGGGTGGTGGCAATTCACACAGCCCTCGCCAAGTGCTAACAGTCCCAGAATATTAAACATTACGGGCCTGAACAGACTGCCAAAAATAATCAAGTTTGAGACCACTTTAATTGCCCTGGCTCAGTGCTAGGGATTCATGGGAACTGTA